GAATCTTACCTTATTCTGGCAGCTCTCCTAGTTCAGCTGGCTCTGTCTATCTTCTGCAGTTCTTCAGGTCGCAGCTCTTCAGGGTTGAGGTTCTTGTCTCATGCCCAGAAAGAATGAGGGACACGGACGGCTAGAAAGTGAGAAGGCAGGATTTATTGAGAGGACAGAAAAGTTCCTACAGTGGGGGGGGGGGGCGAAGGGGTTGCCCCAATATACTTTTCTAATAGGCCTATTTGTTGGTTTGAGATAGGTCGAATTTTATAAAACTGAGGTAATGAATATTGTGATTTCCAAAACCTCTAGAAAACCGAAGCTCATCACTAAAGTGATTTATGACAAAGGAATGAAAAAATGCCATTATTAAAAGGAGATTTTGAAAAATGAGGTTCAAAGAGTGAGACTGAGATAAAGAAAGGTAGGCTTGTGTTTTTAGCCCATGAAGATAAAAACTAAAGCGAATTTTTTTTTAATCAATATTTTTTATTATGATTTTGTGGGGTACAGTTAAGGGTTAGGTGTACAATTATGTTTCATTCAGGCACCCTGTTGATAAGAGGTGTCTAAAGCGAACTTTTAGGGAAAGCTTCAGAAGCAAATCTGTCCCTATTTTTCCTTCAGTTCTTATTCTCTACGTCTCTAGTGGCTGGATGCCGTTTGTGGCACTAGGAGCTCTTGTTCTCACCTTCTTTGGAGTTCCCTACAACCCTTCCTTTCCTATTTGTGACAGTTCAGCTCCTCCCCATACTTGCATGTCCCATTTGGTAGAGCAAAAGCCCGCCCTACCCACACTCAACAAATAATCCTCACACTCAAGCATGCCCCAAGGGGCTCACCTCTTTCCCAAGTGACTATTGGCATTTCCTTTCCAACCATGTGAATGTTAATTCCCTTGATTTGTTCACTGCTGTTTCCCCAGTGCCTGGCCTGTAGTAAGTGCTCAGTAAATACTTGTTGAATGAATGAATGGACCATAGAGAGTACTTTCCCTGGGAGAAGTTCTGCAAATACCATGCTCTTAACCTTGTTACATGTTCTGTGGTCTTTTAATTCTCTTTAAAAAAGAAATCAGTAGCCGGGAGGTGGCTCAGCCTGTAATCCCTTGCCTTGGGAGGCTGAGGTGAGTGAATTGCCTGAGCCCGCGGGTTTGAGACCCACCTGGGCAACTTGGCGAGATCTCATCTCTACAATAAATAAAAAAAAAAATTAGTCAGGCGTGGTAGTGCGAGTCTATAGTTCCAGCTAC